AAGAAATTGATACATTCATGTTAGACTTTGAACAAATACTAGGAAAAAAAGAGCACATTACTGTTTTAGCTACACAGCACTGGCTGCCCATTTCTTTTACAAATGATTTTAAGGTTGTGGAACACCCTGCCCAGTTACATTAGATATACAAGCTCTCTTGACATTCCTAAAAATCATCTGAATATAGTTTTTCTTTTCTCTTTCTTCCGTTATACTTATATTGATGTTTTATTTTATTTTTATAAATGCTTTCTTTTTTTTATTTTGTTTTTTAATACCACACTGTAAAACCATTTGAGCTGCATTTTGGTGCTATACAAATACAAGTTATTATTATGATGTTACTAATAATACTAATGCTCTCTGTTTTGTCTGTTAACTGTACAAAAGTTTGAAACATCCAATCATTTGTTTTTAAAATTCAACAGTGTCAGCAGAGCTTAGAGCATCATGTGAAGCAGGACTGTAGAGGTTTATAATCTGTGTAACGAGAAATAGATACTATGCTTTCTAATGATATAACATAATAACAAAGATCTGAACCACTCAAAAACCAGAGAACTCACTTATTAACTTATTAACAGTCACTTTTCCCATTTCCCCTTATGTCATCTACAACAGAGAACATGGAGGAAAATCTGGATGGTGCTTTTTAAACCCAGCTCCACAGGGGTCGGGCGGTTGGAGCTTTTCACTGTACTTGACAACAATGCCGTTACTGAACAGAAGAAGGTCAGTCGGCAGAAAACACCAGAGAGAAAAGTAGTACGTCTAACTGACTGCCTCAGTGTCACTCCTGCTCCAAAGGAGTCTTGCCCTCCTGGTTGCACAGCCTTTTACTTAAACACCACTCAATGCAAACACACCCTGGCCTCCACAGCAAGCGATGACTGGATAAGTGCCCTCTGTCTTCTAGCCTTCCAGGTATCACACATCTCTCCTCTTGACCAGTCCAACTTTCCCCTTTTCTTTTTATATCAGGAGTAGAGTTACCATTTGGGAACGGTGGGGATAAACCTTACCCACTATCAGATATAGATAGCATAATGAGGAAGTTAACTTCTGTCACTTCACTTCTCTAATTCTTGTGCTTGCACAAGCTATGTTCTTTCTTGCATCTTACCTCTTTGAAGTCATAAAACAGTGATAAGAGGTTGGTGTACACTGAATGTCATGTTTACCATGCCACTGTGTTTACAGAAGGATCCTGGAGAATCAGACAAAGGGGGTTTCGAGAGAGGAAATGGTTTGGACATGGAGGACAATGACCTTTACTCATCTTGGAAAACTGGTAATGCTTGTCAGTCTGCAGATGACAGCTGATCAGGCAACAAGCAATCAAATCTTACCAAACTATGTTGTAGTGGTGCTACAGTGCTCTCATAACAGCAGTTAACTTGTTGAGTACAGTGCTGTCATAACCGATAGAGATAATAGCCAAAACAAAACATACAAAAATTAAACCCAGGTTGAAAGAAGCTGTAATTATCCTTTAATAAGGTGTGAAAGTAAATTGGCTGTGCAGTGAGGTTTAGATGCCATAGCATCATAAATTCAAGATATCAGCAGAAACCTTGAATATGTGTCAGCAGTAGCTATAGCCACTAATTTATTCACACATGAATGCCAGAATGTATTAGCGTCAGCAAGGGCTGGCTTTAACAAATGTATTTCTTTTATTCCTGATGGATTACTCTTAAAAATCCAGGCAGCCCAGTCACATGGAGGGATTAGTAGAATGCAAGCGATTTTAAATCAGCATTTTCCTGTATGATAATGTATTTGGTGTACATTTATTCCCTATGCAGATATATTGCTGCTCAGACCTCATATGGAAAAAAAATAACTTTCATCTGTAGTTACTACTAACCTCAGCCTGCTGTGGCAAATATTTTCCTGTCTTTCATGTTTAGATCTGAGCGTTCTTCCAAACCAGTACCAAGTGACTGTCCAGAGCACAGAGGCATCCAGGCGGTGCCAGTTGGCTGGGGAGTATCTGGTCTCCCCAGAAAAAGAGGCTGTGATACTGCTGGCCATCAATACTGGTCACATCATCTATCGCTGGCCATACAGGCTCTTACGGAAATTTGGACAGGTTGAGGTAAAGTACTTATGAATTCCTCCCAAATTGGAAAGGATACAAAAATGAATCCTCCTTATTACGTGTTACATCTAAATAGTTTATTCTGTAGCAAAACTAAAGTGTAAAAACAACATGTTGTGGTTTTACAATTTTACCTTTGTACAGAGTACGTTTTTACTCAAAAAATCTCTCTATATATAACGTATAACGTCTTATGCTAAGGTAACTAGCTGCTGGTAGTAGCTTCATCTTTACCATACAGACATTGGTATCGTCTTCTTATCTAATTCTTCGCAATAACGTGAATCTTCATATTTGCCTAAATGTCAAACAATTCCTGTAAGATGTGTATCAATGGATGTGATTGCAGAGTGGATTCAGCATTGAAGCAGGTCGTCGCTGTGAGTCAGGAGAAGGAGTGTTCATCTTCCTATCCAGGCATGGTCCCCAGATCTTCCAGGCTATATCACAGCGGTGCTCTGTGGAAAAGTCCTCTGTCGAGCCACTCAGGAGATCAGTCATTGACCAGTTGCCTGTTACCCTCCCAACCACAACCAACCAGCCCTCTGGCCCTCCTGTTTACAATCCTGCAGATGTTTTAGCTGACACAGAGGATGATTCTGCCAACCACTACTCTACTATTAATGACCCCTCTATACTAAAGGTAAAGCGGCTATCTCTTGTCGAACCATTTATCTCTAACATCAGGGAGGCTGTGGGACAGAAAGATGAAGATGAACGATGTCATTCCCTGGATCCTGCAAACCTGGTTAATCTCATGGATGACAACATTTATTACAACATAAGGAGAGCCACGCCTCCTATTATCAGAAAAGATCTGTTCAAACCTGAGACAGACAATACAGAGTGCATCTATTCGGATTTGAAAATAGTTGATTCTCCCTTGAATCCACAGCTGCAGCCCTTCTCGTCACCCCTCCCTCAGCCCGTTTCCCAGCCTCCTCCCTGCCCACCTCCACCGCCTCCTCCCTGCCCACTTCCCCAATCTGTTCCTTACGTGCCCAAGCCCCGATACCAGCGTCAGCCCCCTGCGAATAACTACATCCAGCCAGAGTACAATGCCCAGGCACAGGCAGTGGATGAGATGAAAGAGATGGAGGAGGCCATCAGCTCCTCTACCCAAGCTACCCCCACAGAGGCCCCTGGCAGTTTTAAACACAGGCTGGCAGAAATCATTTCCAAGGACCTGGCAAAGTTCCAGCCACCTCTTCCCTCTGGAGCGGGCAGCCCCACATTTTCTCAGTAGGCTATTAGTTAACAGACAGACCAGAAGGGGCAATTTTAACCACGATAGACTGTCATAAAGATTAAATATTAGTTAAAATTAGTTTCTTTATGTCTTAGAAATTCTTTCCGCTGGGAACATTAAGATGTTTGTATATTTTTCTGCAGTGGTGGAATGTAACTAAATACTGTCACTGTACTAAAGTACAATCTTGAGGTCCTTGTACATTACTTGAGCTTTTTTTTTTGTAAAACTACCCACACAAGCTATAACATGAATGATGCTTAATGCATCAATAATTATAACACAATATTATTATAAAATTGGCCCTTTTGCATAATGTGTACTTTTAGTAGCCTACTTTAAGTATATGTAGGTTGATGTAAATATATGTTGTTTAAGAAAAAGTATTTCTTCACTGTAATATTGCTAATTTTACTCAACCCTACTACAAGTAGACAACAGTGTACATTTAATACCGATGACTCTGTATGAGCTATAAACAAGAAGACTGGCTGTGTCTGTATTTATTCTTAATGTCTGCCACCAGTTGGGCTTTCCCATTAGCACTTCTGGCCACTCCAAGTCAAACCAGCACCTGCTGATTTGCATTCCCATTACTATTACCGAGATGTGGTGCCCCACGTCAGAGGCTAGATTAGGTCAGATTCCCCTTGAAAACAATGAAACAAGGCAGTTGAAACAATACTACTTTTGTCCACAGGGGCCGCCAGAATCAGCAAAAAATTCAAGATCTTTGTTGCTGCTTTGAATTAAAGATCTGAGTTCTTCTTCCACCACTGTCTGTGCTATCTGTATCCTGTTGTATGTATGTATCTGGAATACATTTTATTCTGTGGATTGTTTTGGCAAAAAGAAGATTCAATTAATGTTGTTCTTCACTGCTGGAATGTTAATGTTAATGTTAATGTGACATTGCTATTAGTTGATAAGCTGAATGAACACCTGACTGTTTCACTATTTCATAATGGAAATAGCTTTGAAAAAAATGTTTCCTTGTTACATTCAGTTTATTTGTTAGGAATTAGTTTCTTGTTGCTTATGAATTCCCTTTCTTAAAGAAAATAAAGGGTTTTGTTACATATAAATAAAGAGTTTTTCAGGAATATGGAAAGACCATATTCACCAAGTTGTGTTTTGGTGTGAATACTGTATTTTGGACATTGAGCTTCAGTCTGCTTCACATCAGAAATATTGAAATGTAACTTACTCAGTATATGGCAATTAAAAAAAAGTAATATACAAAAACAACTTAAAATACACACTCATGTTTCAATTATATCTTTATTGTAGCAAAACATCATAAAATAGCTATACATAAATATCAAAATAATTGTTTTTAATTTAGACAAATGTCACTAATGACACTGGAAATGTCTTTAGTGATGGTTCAGGCCATAAAGTGCATTAAAAAAGGCCTCTGGGAGTTCATCATGGCCTTAGGAAGAAAAATATTCAAGATCTCAGTAGATATTTCTTGAGTTTTACCTGCCTTTTCATTTGGCAGTGCAACATCTAAGCTATTAAAATTACAGGAGAATGTAGGACTATGTCATGTGATACATTTCTACAAGCAGTAATATTTGGTTCTCCTGATTCCTTCTATAACAGACACTGCAGTATAAACAGCGAGGAGTCAGTGGCTTTCTGTTAATGTCTTCCATTCTGACTTTCCTCCATGTCACTGAAGTGCGAAGATTCCCCATCACTGCCGGTGGAAGAAGTCGTTGATTTACTGGACCCCAAGTCAGATGTAGGTCCAAGTATTATAAGGTGGCCGACGGAGGTGTCCCGCTGTTCTCCGGTCAGCGGGTTCGTTGGCTGGAGAGAGTGGATCAGACTCCTCATGACGGTTTTATCCGCTGAGCTTGGACGGGGACTCCTGCACTCCGGGTGAACCACGCCGGCCAGGAGCTCCGACAGCTCAGTGATGTAAATCTGCGCCATTTGGAGGGTGTCATACTTGGACAACTTTCTCTCGTTCTCCAGAGATGGGATGACGCTCCTCAGCTCGTCAAACGCTTTGTTCAGGCCGTGCATCCTCCTCCTCTCCCTGGCGTTGGCTGCGACGCGCCTGTGTTTCTGGGGGCCAAAGTGGTTCGTCTTGCCTCCCTCTGCCGCATTATCACAGTCAGTCTCTGTGATGCCTGTAGCAGATACGCAGTCGGATAGTTTACCCATTGGCACAAGTTTCTCCAGAGAGATGCCCGCGTCTGCAGCTCCGTGCGCGTCCCTCCTGGAGAATGCATGGAGAGAATTTGAAGAAATCCAAGTCTTTGAGTTGATGTGGGCCAGACTGCGCTGCTGCAACAGGGTGAAATCCTCTGGGTACTCCGGCCAGCTTGAAAGCTCTGCTTTTGCAGTCATCACTGTAATGGCCTGTGGTCGTGCACGGCAGGGAAAGGTCACACAGAAGACTCTGGCTGATGCCCTCGTCTCTGGAGTGGTTTGCACTGCGCCAGCATTTTATACAGCCTCCCCTCAGTCACCTTGGTGTCACTCCCAGCGCTCCAGCAGCCCTGACAGCCCCGCAGCCTCAGGAGGCAGCAGCCAATCGTACAGTCCCCTCTGACCCCGTCAAAGAACAATTAGACAAAGCTCGACTTTTTTCTCCTATTGTGCATTGTAACTCAATCACGACCTTGTTATTATCCTCACACAGAGGGGAGCCGAAAGTATTAATCATTTAAGAGCGTGGCTTATATGTTTGAAAAGCTCAGTACAATTTGATCTAATGCACTTGTTAAAGTCTGGGCTGCCTGTCTGTTGGTTTTATCATTAGGCTAAAGTTTTCCAGATATAAAGTAACAAGTGCGCATGCCAAAACTGTTTAAAATATACAAAGATTAGTAAATTAAATCACTTGTGCTTGCAGCTTAAAGAGTTTTCTGACGTTTTCCTCCGTAAATTCATCTTTTTACACATAAAACATATAATGATTTAATTTAAAGGTTAATCTTTATTATTTTGAGTTCATCAGATAGCTACTGTGCACATATGGTTTGTTGTGCAGTTAAGAACAAACATTCAAGACTTCTTTACCACCATCATCATCATCATCATCATCATCACTACTACCATCACCCATCCACTGCTCCCAGTCCAAGGAAACTGAATTTGGATCTTTCTCATGAGCAAAGTAACTGACTGCTTTAACTGGGTCTGACCCTTTAGGGATCTGGCAGCACCGAGGTTTGTTCTCAAACAAACAGTAAAAAGGTGGACAATCTTTCGCGGATTATTTGCGGAAGAATAATAAAACGAACAGGTGGAAGGCAAGGCTTGAGACACACCTGTCTCAGGCAGAGCCATGATAACTGATAAGTTGTCTGAAGGCGACTTATGAATCATTAAGCAGGAAACACAGATCAAAACATATTTAAATCCTAATGCAAAAAAGTTCTTATTCCACTTTTTAAAATTGCTTTTAATGTTTAGCTTAGTCCGATGTGTTTTTAGTGTTTTACTATTTTTTGTTGTTTTGCTGCTTTTATGTTGTCTTTATGTAAAGTGTCTTTGAGTATCCAGAAAAGCGCTTATAAATAAAATATTATTATTATTATTATTATTATTATTATTATTATTATATTTGTTGTTGTTGTTGTTGTTGTTATTTTTAATATTATTATTATTAGGCATATTAGTAGTAGTAGGTCTAGTAGTAGTATTTTAAGATTGTATTTCCTAAGTGAGACCAAATCAAGTCCGATAAATTAATTTTGATTAGTCACGTGGCCCCTGTGCCTATCAGCTGTTGTCCCCTGGCACCTCACGCAAGCTACACACCTCTGTCACAACCGGTGTCACCCACGTCTCCCATATGCCGTGCGCAGTGACAACTCCGCTTTCACACTGACACTCACTGCTCTGACACAAGAGCTAATCACTCATTAGGTCATCAATTACAGGAGTGGAACCACTTCAGCACCAGCGCAGACCTGTCCGGTGGGAGCTCTGAGATGTTGTGATGATGGTGACTTGGATAAATTTGGCATTCAATGCCCATCTCTCTCTCTCGCTCTGTCTCTCGCTCTGTGTGTGTGTGTGTGTGTGTGTGTGTGTGTGTGTGTGTGTGTGTGTGTGTGTGTGTGTGTGTGTGTGACGGTCGGGGTCGAGCACTGGTAAAGAAAATCACCGTGACCTGCCTCGCCGCCAGCAGTTTAATGAGGCCTGGTCTTAGTTGAATAAATCGGCACGCTCTCCGTCCCGGGGTGTCCATTCATTTTTTTGGGCTACATGAATATTTCATTCCTTCAACCCCACTGCCAGCGCAACAGCCTGTAACCCTGCGTGCAGGCTTTAAAAATGCGGCCACACTTCCCATCTGGTGCGGGGCGTGAGCGGGGGAGTGGCGGCGGAGGCCGAGGAGGTGTGAGGAACATTTCTAAGGTCAACTTTAGTGACCTGCTTCAAGAGAGAGACTGATGCGTCCCACCAGGCAAGAAGACAGGGGGGGACAACATGGCTGTCAACTGGCAAGTTATGGCAACTTTAAGTGTTGGTCCAAGCCTCTTTGGGGGCCCATATATGCAAAATCTCCCTTACAAAGTTGTAAGTGCCAAAGTTATTGCTGGGCAGTGGTAGAAGAAGTATTTACTTTAGTAAATAGTCTGCAAAGTCTGCATTGTAAAAGTCCAGTGTGTTACATTTCTGAGCATCTATTGGCAGAAATTGACTATAACATTCATAGGTATTTTTCCATTAGTGTATTATCACCTGAAAATAAAAATCATTCTGTTTTCATTCCCTTAAAATGTGTCTTTTATGTCCACAGATGCCACCGGTCGCCTTCTTTTTTTTTGCACATTTCACTGCCACCATAGTTTCTCCCACACACTTGGAAAGGGTGGATGAGGCGAATGAGCTGTAATCTGCAAATACACCGCTGCCACTAAATCCTACATTCTTTAAATCTTCCAAAAGTAAAAATATTATTAAAGTATGAAAAGTAAAAGCAAAAATTGCACCTGTGTTATTGGGTGTTATACTGTCCTACATTTTTGGATTGTTAATACTGATGCTTTAATGTGTAAGCAGCAATGTTGTGGTTGGTGAAGGTGGAGTTCATGCTAACTTTGTTGAGTCCTTTCATTTTTAACAATGCATCATATTTTACAAGCTCCTCAGTAGTTTTGCATGTTAAATCTGAGTCTGCAAAGTAACTTGTAACCACTCTCAAATAAATCTAGTGTAGTAAAAAGTACAGCACTCCCTCAGAAATGGAGTATAGTGGGAGTAATATAAAGTGGCATAAAATAGAGATACTCAAGTAGAGTACCATAAAATTTCACAGTGCAGTACTTGAGTAAATATACATTACTTCCCATCACTGCGGGCACATGAGCAAACAAAGTAAACAACACATCATCTGAGGAATTTATTCTGGTATAACTACTTTGTTGTTTTCACCAAGACACACATTTAACAGTTGTGAAAATATTATATATGAAACAATGATCAACTAGACAATAACCTGTTCAGTAGGTTTTACACATGCAAAAAGTCAGCTTTTTTATTAACCTGCAACCAAATGTAGTTTCTCTACTTGAGATCTAAAGGCAGTGATACCACTGCCCACTATGTCTAAAATGGAAGTCAACAGGTAGACTGTAAACACTGCAGACTGCAGCAGAATGTAAACCAATTTGTTCCCAGCGAGGTATTCTTTGCCTTTAAGTGCTCCTTGTAAACTCACATTTACAACTGTTCAAATTACTTGTGAGTAAGATGCAGTAGCTTTTTACAGTTGTCACATATACAAATATTTATGTTTCACTAATGGAGACTGTCAGGTCGGCTGTAGTGTCAAATATAACATCACTCAATGCAACTATCTTGATGGCAGTTATGTACCTCACAACTCACTTTATAGCCTATAATGGGTTCACAATTTGTTACCAACTTGGCAACCAGGGTACCACAGACAACTGCAGCTGCCAGATGACGTTGGTGATGGAACCTGGCAACAGTCCCGGAAGTTTATCCTAACCCTTAACTATTCAAACCCTAAACCCAACCCAGCCAACCCCAGCAGCGCCCGCTTGTGTCAACACATGCTCTGTGACTTCTATTTAACCACTTAAGTTGTAACACGACACATTATAACATGTATGTTTTGCAGGGGTGGTTTTCCTTTTCATGAGCTAATAATGTAGACTGTGAGAGTAGTTCCAGTAATAATACATTCTCTCATTGTTCTAATTTCCAGTAAATGAAGCAGGCCTAATAGTGAAATTAAAGCAGTCCTCATTTCACTGGGGATGCGTTAAAACCTCTTCAATTATCCCTGGGGAGCCACTGTTGGGGAACCATGCCTCCAAGCAGGCTATAATTAATTCGACTCTATTTTTGAGACTTTGGTTCAAGCGTCTCTGTTTCATTGTCCACCTGTTCAAGGCATTACAACACCTTAGCCTGTATGAACTATACATACAAACCACACAGGCATCAGAAATTAACACTTCATTTCACGGGTTTGTAATTTTGTAATTATGTTCTACCAAGTTTCCTGGGAAAAAAATGGTAATTTAGTTTCTAATTATAGGGGAAATAGGACATTTCTCAAAAGAACTGCTCAATTTAAACCCAAGTTACTATTAATTTGTTATTCATTTATTCTTATATGTTGAGTTGGCTTTTAAAAAAAAAAGTTCACCTAACCTGCTGACTCTGTTGATTACTCTCCAGGAGTTAATTGGAATTAATTAATTGGAAGTGAACCAATTGAACGCTGTCTCAATTTCACCCATAATCAGTATTACATTGTTATTTTCAGGAACAATCCTGGGAAATTATTTAGAAATTATCAACCCATAAAGTGCTACCAAAGTGTCCAAAGGTTTGATTACAGCCTCCAGATACAATTTTTATAAATACATAAATAAATTATAACATTCACAAAGGCAGTATGGCTTTTTGAAGTTACCTATACCTATTAAATAATTTCAAATATGTTTTTTAAATGTTAATTTTATTGAAGTTCTCTCCTTGTGACCCATCCATACCACCTTTACTATACTTTTACATTGCCGTTGTCCTGTATAGGCTACATACTGTACAATAACACACAAACAGGTCTACATGAACTCTATAACGACACACCGAGTGGGATTTCCTTCCTCATTGGTTCTTACTGGTCCATACAGTGAGCCACCCTTTTACCCCCTCCCTCCCTCTCTCTCTCTCTTGTGTTTTAATTAAAGACTCCTTAATTTCGTAACAATAGAGCATTTCCATTTTTTCTCAACAGAATCATTCACCAAGAACAGCGAACCTCTTGATGTTGGGAGCAGTCTCCTCTGTAATTACCCGCACACACCCGAAGCTACGGAGATGGTTCTACCGAGCAGAGAGAGAACTCTTAATGT